TCGACCTCTAGTTGTGAGAACAACAGGTATAACAATCTGAGACACCTTTGTGCTTAGCAGGGAAAATATTTACTTTCAAAAACTACCAGGACGATCCAGGGCAGAACTTAAGACTGATGCAAACAGAAACCAAACACCTATTTTTGACTTTTTGACCTATGGCATCTAGAGGTAAAGAAGCAGCTGCCTTCTGAAAACAGTGCGTATCTTCCTGAATCACACTGCTGCTGCACGCCTGCACCAGTGCTGTAACACATAGCTCTGTCACACACATGTACATACTAAATAATCCCAAATCACTCCCTGTACTTCATTCTGTTCAGCATTGACCTCTGTATAACTAGAAACCCCAAAGTTCACCGACAAATTCATCTTCCTTAGACAGCCAACATTAACTGCTTGGCGTGCAGAAGGTCTCAGATTCAATCCCCAGCATCTCTAGATAAAAGATCTGGGTAGTAGATGATGTGAAAGATACCTACCTGAGACCCTGGAGAGGTGATACCAAGGCAGCTTCCTGTAGTCATGTGATGTCATCTTCTCTCCCAGGGATTACATTTCTATCCCGCCCTCCCCGCGGACGGGCTCAGGGCAGCTCACAATCAAGAGTAGACAATACTGACTTTGAGGGTCTCATTCAGTATAAGGCAACTTCATGTATTCATGTGTGTGTGACACTCTGACCTCTACAGAGGGTCACTGAATAACTTGTTGTTTGTTTAAATCAATATTAACTCTGCTGTTTATAAGAAGGCAAGAGGATCATTAGATCAGGTCCTAGAATCATTTTTGGTATATTTTCACCATTACACCCAGCAACAATCACAAAACTGGATAAATTATACTACATGTTAGAGCTGGAAGACCTTGTCCTGGGGCTTGTATTTTGGTGGGGGGGCCCCCTTCACTCTCTGGAGGCACGCAAATTGCCTTCCCTTCACTCCTGGAGATGTGCCGCCTCTGTGGTGCAACAGGGAGGGAAGGAGAGGCGTTTAAACCCCCCCTCTTTCCACTCTCCAGAGTCGTGTCACCTTGGCAGCACACCTCCACAAGTGAAGGGAAGGCAAATTCTTGAGTTGGCTTTGTAGCTTCATCTTGCCTCTCCAGATTCTGATTGTACCTAGGGAAGAAGAGAATTATTCATTAAGGTTGAGTCCTGGGCTACTGCTGCACTACTACTGTGCCAGCCAAGATAGTCAGTCTCCCTTGTTCAGCAGCGGTTCACCCATAAGATAGTAGCATCCAAAGAACAGTAAGCACAGGATCTGATATAGCAGTACCACTCCTGCTAACAGAACAGGTCATGCGTCAGTCACCGTTATCCTTGGACACATTCCTTTGTAACCCCGCAGGGCAAGCACTAATTAGGTTGCTTGAACTTCAGTCATGTTAACTAGTTAACTGATGGCCTACCCAACCTTTCGTGTTGGGGGAGATGTTCAAACCTAACCATCGGTCATGAGATACACTCCCAATGGAATGGGAATGTAACATAGGTGTGATGCGGAGCGGCAGGGATGCTAGCCAGAAATATCCTACATATGATAGGGACTCATGGCCACTCTACGTGTTGTCATTACTGTTTTTATTGCATTGGGAGGGGTTGGTTTTTGTTTAAAATTGTGATCTGCCTTGAGTCTCAGAGAGAAAGGGGGACTATACATGATATCAATATAAGCATATTGCATATATAAGCGTATAAGCGGGTGGACTGATCAGACAAAGGAAATACAAATTGTTTCAAAGGAACATATGTGACTTCTATGGGAAGCTTGGGCTTCGTGTGCTAGAATCCAAACCCCCTTCAGTGGGATTTATGTTTATATAAAGTTGTTAATATTAGTGTGTTGCTACTTTGCTCTCCGACGTAGCATTCTTTATAAACGGTGGGTTTTTTTCCCTTTAATGTGTGTTATTCTGCAAATCAGCTGGAAGCCCTTTTAGATTCGGGATGACATTGGCCCAAGCTGTTAATGTCTGGCCTTTTCTACTTAAGTTCTCAAAAGAATATGCAAGATCTCCCTTCTGGTTTTCAAGCTTTGGGGAGGTTACTGGGAGTGTTCCCTTTAAGCTGAGTCAGTGTGAGCTAGTTCAGTTTTTTAGCCTCCGGCTCACACCTTTTTGTCTTAGCTCAGGAAGGATGGCTCCAGAGCAAACTGATTTATGCAGTAGCCCAATCGTTGGCTCACAATGTGAATGCCAGGAGCCCACAAAGTAGAATTTTGGCTCACAAGACTCCACAGCTTAGAGGGAACACTGGTTACTGGGTACTAGTGATATGGTGAGCCATTCTTCCCAAGCAAAATAGAACAATTCCTTAATACCAAAGATGAGCAGCAGGCTTATCTAGCAACTAAACAAGGCCACCCATAGACAAATTACACAGTTCTGGTACTCCCAGGTATGTAGAAAAAGACCATTGTTCAGTTGTAGACTATTGCTTGATATGCAGAAGGTCCCAGGATCAATCCCTGGCATCTCCAGTTAAAGGATCTGGTATTAAGTGATGTGGAAAACCTCTACCTAAGACCCTGGAGAGCTGCTGCCAGTCAGTGTAGACAATATTGACCTTGATGGACCCATGTTCTGATTGCGTATAAGTAGGGTTACCAGATACCTTCATTTAACAGGACATACATACATACATACATACACACACATTAGATTTCTATACTGCCCCTTTCCGTAGACTCGGGACGGTTTACACAGTTTGTACAATTTTTCTAACCTAGGGGCACAGGGGAGGTGAATTCCTTACCCAGGCACCCCCCTATTTTTGGCAGGTCCTCTTTTCTTTTGGGTGCTTGTCCTCTTTTGGGCTCTTTTTAAAAAACTGATGAAAATGTCCTCTTTTTGGGCTGGAAAGTTAGGAATATTCCTAGTTCGTAGCAATTTGGTGTAGCGGTTAAGAGCAGCAGACTTTAATCCGGAGAGCCGGGTTTGATTCCCCACTCCTCTAGATGCAGCCAGCTGGGTGACCTCCTCTCAAAGCTGTTCTCTCAAAAGCAGTTCTCTCAGAGCTCTCTCAGCTCCACCTACCTCACAGGGTGTCTGTTGTGGGGAGAGGAAGGGAAGGTGATTGTAAGCCACTGTGAGTGGAGGGCGGGGTATAAATCCAACCCTCCTCCTCCTACTACTACTGCTACCTACTATCACAGCTTAAATAGTAGGGGTATTTAAAATTAGACTTATAGTGATCACTTATTTGAAGTAGTCATTTGGGAAAGATGTCTTCTTTTTTGCTTTTCAAAATATGGTTACCCTTGTATAAGGCAGTTTCATGCAGTCATTTAAAAAAAATCTTATTGGATCATGTAGCCCTGGTCTCTGGTTCTGATCCTCCTTATGTGTGTTTCTCTTATATCTGTGCCAGCCCTTGCACTTCCACAGGGGGCACTCCCTAAAATGTGAAGGTCCATCCATCACTGCTGTTACAGCTATCGCCTTGAGCAGACAATAAAATGATAAAAGCCTTACTTAATATTATCTCCCTGATATGTAATTATTGCCCCTATAAATTTTGCCACAGAAAGAGTAATGGAATCCTTTTTATCCAATAGTAGCCATATCACCTGAGCTGTTTCATATTTTTAAGTAGAGGGGAATACAAAGACCATAAACAGAATCTGAGGCCATGCACTCTTCATAGTGGTGTTGCCAGAGGCACTGCACTGCCTTTTACTGTTGGGTAGCCCCGTAGCAAGGGCACTCCACTTCTAACCTGATCCAGAGACTCACAAAACTCAGGCCAAGGAAGGCACTCTGGTTCTGAAACATAGAGCTAGCCACAACTCTGAAAAAGGGGTCTCCATTTTCAGGTGACAGGCAACCTCAGAGCAAGCCTCTAGTCTTCCCCCTCCACCCAGCAGAGATTATGCTTATGGAATAACAATGAGTTATAGCAGGCAAAGTATCTACATTCCTAAAGTCTAATTCTTTGTCTGAATACTTGCCTTTTCTACTCTGTCCCTCAAGATACCGGGATAAACCAATCAAACATTCAAATTATTAACGATCCTTCCTGACGCTAATCAGGGACGTCTCCCACCTTTTGTTTACCCTGGCCAGGACCATTAGTGGTCAGATAATCCATTTAACTAGCCACCCAGCACCTGGCTTCTGTTGTTAAATCCAGACCCTGCCTCTCTGGAAGCTCATTGGTCACATCTAAGCCTTGCCCATCCTGATGCCACACACCCCTGGGACTCATCATTGGTCCAGGAAAACTATTGTTCTCACCTGAGACCAGCCCCCAGGGCCGCCCATTGGTCTGCATTGTCTTCCATAGGGTATATCCCAGCGTAAACATGGCCTCAGACCGTGTGTTTTCTGCCATAATCCAAAATGGCAGTCCACCCCTGAACTCTCTGAGTTTAGGCTACAATCCTTTCTTCATGGACCCCTGCACATCTGGACAGGTTGTATCACCCCTCTATAAGCTATCAATCACCTCTGCTTCCTTATAGTTCTATATTGTGTGTGTGAGTGTTTGAATATTGTTTGTATGTTTAGTAAAGAAATCATTATTTTAGCCACACAGTTTCTGTGTCTGTTCCTGGGTTCTTGGGAATTCTAACTCTGGTATAGACAGGTCAGATCCTATAGATAAGCCAATTGCATATTAATAATTATAATTCCCCCATCTTTATTAAATAATAGAGCAATTTGGCTAACAGTGGAACTCACCATGTACTAACCCAGTACAAGTGATTGTGGTGTGCAAAAAGTTTGAAATAAAAAAATTCTGACACTGCCACTATACTGGAAAAGCCTCAAAAAGAGTGATCCCTTTAAACTTTTCTTCCTGCACACTCTTCAGATTTCTTGCTTTAGTTACGTTAAGTTTTTAAACAAACTCAGTTTTTTTCAACCCAATCTTTAATTATTTCCCCTTAAGCATCCCGAACCTTAGATTGCCTCCTCTTGTTACCTGCTACTGAGATCTCAGTCTTTTATAATTAATCTCCATAAGCAAGTGGTGCAAAAGCTATTCTGTAATCTATCAGTCGTAATAGAATTTAGAGCCACAACCATAGGAGTATTTTTAATTTGTCAGAAAATGGTGAAGGAGCGGGGGGGGGGCTGGCTGGCTGGCTGGAGCCATTTGTTTTGAGGAAGTTTTATCGTCTTGTTTGCATGTGACTCTTTTTTTCCCCCCCTTTTAAAAAATTTCAGTGCCACACCAAGAATAATTTCTAAAGCAAAGAAAGGTGTTGAAGAAACTGAAAAAAGAAGACCTACAGTGGTGCTAAATACTTCAGAACCCATCACCAGTGTCCAGATCTGGTTAGCAGATGGAACAAGGATAGTACAGAAATTTAATGCTACGCACAGGTAAACACAGATCCTATTCATGCATTCTTTCAGTAATGCATACTTGTAAAAAATGTCTCGGACTCCAGTCCAAAATGTCATAAGCCTACAATCAGTTTTTCATTAATCTCAGCCTGTAGACTACTAGAGAAAGCAAAACATATCGGAGGGAAAAAACCCTGAAGCAATAGGGACAAACAAGTGACAAAAATGTCAGGGCAGAAGTGGCCAGAACTAAAATAAATATTTTTAAAGTGTGAAATCTGAAATAAGAAATGCAAATAGCACAATTCAGAATTTTGCAGTACACAATAGAAAAAAATTGTTTCAAACTTGGGGCTGCCAACATCCCAAGTATTCAGTTCCAGGTTTCTTTCAGCATGAATATCGTGCTTCATAAGAAATACTGGAAAACAATCTGGATTTCATCTATGAATCCAGAATCAGTATTACTGGAACAGGAATATTTCTTTTAGTGCCATTTGCCTAAGTCCCAAACTTGACAAATTCAGAAATGTGAGATGTGTTTAATGTTGTGATTTTTATTTGTTTGTTTTGCACTGTCCTGAGAGGTCAGGATCTTTGAATTTTTGTCAGTTTAGTTCCAATGAAGCTGTATAGTGTTAAATATTTGGGTCTAATTGGCATTATCAGTTATTATGGCCCCGTCCTGGTCTTTTATTTGTTTGATGTGTTTGTACAGTGCCTTCCTGTGGAAACATTCAAAGCAGCTCACAATTTGAACACTTGAAAAGACAAAACCAATAAAGAGTAGAAACGGACTCATATCATTGGTTCTCTCTTCAGGGGTTGATGAAACGCATTCCCCAGCCTGGGTATCGCCTTCCCGTCTGGGTGCACAAGTCTCTCAGTTGCCCTGGGGAAGGTGCCTTCTGAAGGGACTGTTAACAACAGTAATGTGTTTTTTCTTAGGCTGTTGCTAGTCCCTACAGGAAGTGATGAAATGGACTTCCTGGCCTGTTGTGTATTCCAGTCAAGGCACACAGAACTTTCATCAGCTGTCCCAGCTGGTTTCTCTCAGGCTGTGCCTTACTCTGTGTTCTCTAGAAGTTGTAGGAAGTGAGAAGTTGGCCTTAGATGCTTTGCTTTCAGGACTAATACCATGCCCGGTTAATTATTGGTTCTATTGTTTTGTTCAGTTTAATATAGTAATAATTGAGTACTGCCAAATCACAAGGCAAAAGATGAGCAGAGGGGTTTGCCGTTGCCTTCCTCTACATAGCAACCCAGGGCCTCCTTGGTGGTCTCCCATCCAAGTACTAACCATGGTTGACCCTGATTAGCTTCCAAGCTCTTGTGAGTTCAAGCCATTCTGGGCTATTCAGGCTGTTTTTGTTCAGTTTACTACCTCTGTTCTCATTCTTCAGTAGCTGAAGGCTAACAGTAGAGGAGCGTAGGCCAGAAGGCATGTGTGCGCATATATGTTTTCAGCCAGAAGGTATATAGGACATTGTGTGGCTGCTTCAAAACAGACACACTCCAGTCTGGAAGCCAAAGTGGAGAAATGACCTCTTTGCAGAAGCAGCTGATGTATTTAAGTCCTGTTGAACTCAGGCTTGAAAAGCCTTTAAACACAAACACTTCACTTGCTTATAGTTGAAGCGGAGACCAGATCTGTGAACGAAAGCAAAGATCAAATGAGGCAAAGGTTTCCAAAAATGTCAACTACCGAACCATGGAACAAGCCCCAAGTATCCATTTAAATTAAACAACTCATGGGAGAGAGAAAAAGGTTAATTAGGCAGATTCTGAAAGGCTTAAACCGGGCAGGTTCAGCCTCTCAGTATATTTGATGCCATTTTGTACTTAAATTCCTGACTATTTTTTTTAAATAGTCTTTGCCTCTTTTCCCTCCTCAGAATAAGCCACATCAGAGACTTCATAATAAATTACCCAGGAGCCCATGGAAGAAGTCCGTTCACGCTGACCACATCGCTTCCATTTCTAGAGTTACTGGACGAATCTCTCACGCTGGAGGAAGCCAATTTAAAAAATGCTGTTGTTGTTCAGAGACTCAAAAAGAGTACAGAACCTTTCAGGAGCGCATCCTAGCACCGTTTGTCAGGATCCCCCAACGGTACTTCATGAGGAGTGAGCCGCTGCTGCTACTGAATGGTCTCAGGAGACAAGGGGGGGGAGAAGACCTGCCCCCCCCGAATAGTTTCCCAGTTGAGTTAGCTTCACTTTGCCGAAAGGCTAGCTATTACTTGAGCTACATTTAAGCAAAGCCAAAAAAATACTAACAACAACTTAATAGCAATATCTGAGAGTGGTGTACACATAGTGTGTGCTGTCCATCTTAAGGTAGTCTTAGATCCATTTTTCCATTAAGGGCCTGAATAGAATGTAATAAGTGTTTTGTTTTGTTTTTTTAAAAAAGGCTACATAGGTTGGCCAGCTGCACTTGTCTAATAATTTATAATTAAGTGCTGTTAAGTTGCTACCAACTCATGGTGACCCCTCATGGGGTTTTCAAGGGAGAGGTGAGCAGAGGTGGTTGGCCATTGCCTCCCTCTGCATAGCAGCCCAGGTCTTTTTCGGTGGTCTCCCATCCAAGTACTGTCCATGGCTGACCCTGCTTAGCTTCTGACTTCAGACCAGCTGAGGTTACTCTGGGCTATTCAGGCTGCTGCTCTTTTCTAGTCAAACAAAAATAATAATAATTAGGTTTCTGTTTGCATGTCAAGTTATGGTTTGAAAATTTCCTTTACCCATCACTGTTATGTTGGGGAGGATTCCCCCTTGGTTTTATTCTTGTTTTCTGTTCCAGTACACTCTTATCAGTCTCACACCACCACACTAAAAGATGTATAGCTGGTTAACAGAGATATTTAAAGTTGAAGGTCATCTTAACAAGCTCTCAAAAGTATCTGGGGTCATTGTTCCGAAGCGGCTGCTGCCCGCCTTAAGCTTTTCCTGCAAACTTGTGTCTTTGTTTATTTTTTTGTGCCGTTAGGAAAAGATCCAGCCTTTTATCTTTGGTTCTTAAACCATTTCCCTAAGAGTAAACTCCATTGATTTTAATAGCACTTGTTTCCAAGTAAATGCACTTGAGAGTGAAGTGCTGGTTTGCAAGTTAGAAGTATAGAGCAGTCATTACATTCATAGTGCTGGAAAGAGCTAATTTAGAAGTCCAGCTTTGGCGAAATCCTGTACCCATTCCACATGGAAAAATGTCAAACAAGCAGATCCTTCATGTGCATTTTAAGATGGCCGAGTCCCAGTGTTTCGTCTCAGAGTGCATGTTTGGATTAAGTTTCTAAAAAGAAGAAGAATGTTTTGGGTACCAAATTAGCTATTTTGCTTTTGTGATAAATGTCAAATAATCATATATATTTGGGGACATGCAAAAGATGACCGTGTTTTAATGAGATTGAATTTTTCTGTTGAGTCTCTCTGGGCTGTTTTCCACATGGATGCTTTGCTCACCCTTGTCTTCCTGGCTGCAACAATGGTTTTGGAAGCATCCCCATGATGCCATCCTGTATTCATCCTCATTCCACGTTCCCCCCCGCTTTGCTGCCATCTCTCCCAAATCTGGCTTGATATGATCTTTTTGGAAAGGCCATCACAGTGTCTTTGTGGATGGGAAGGTGTGTATTCTTGCAGATCCTCCTCAGTTGGCTCCAGTTTCATTGCTTCAATACCAATGGCTGTCTCCCCATACCCTCTCGAGGGCATTTTTGGGTGCGTGGGGGAATCTGTAATAGCAATTATTGTTATAGCATTATAATGTTATGACAGAATATTGCAACAGTATACTGGTTCCCAGTTTTCTTTCTTTTTTTAAAGTAAGTCTCTAGTTCTTTTAGCTGCAGAATTATAAGGAAAAATGTTTCTTCTTATAACTTTGCAACAAAAGGGCTAGAGACTTAAAAAAATGAAAGCTGTGAACTAGTATATTACAGCAATAGATCATTATAATGTTATACCAGTTACAGCTGTTACCAATTTTTTAAAGCCTGTTTGTGTGTTTTTTTTCTAAGTCAGTTAGTTTTTAAGAGGTTAGTGTGGGGCAGATGCATCAGTCCCGGACAAGAATTTTCAGCATTCATCTAGACGTGCCCCATTAATGCACTAGGTACTATGTAATTTTGAAAATGGAGTCAAAAACTAAAGGGGAAGAAAAATCAACCCAGGAAACAAATCAAATAGCCAAAAAGGGTTAAGTAAGCAAAACTCAAAAAATATATACAAATAAATAACAAAATTAAAAGTGAATGTTAATCTTCCATTAATTACCGTAAAATAATAACCAGTAGATCGCACAAATCATTAAAAATTGCTGTGCTGTACATGTCCCTTTTACCAATATGGCAGATAAATTAATTCATACAGAGCAATCACCAAGTAATACATGGTCAAGTTGGTCAAAGAATATGATAAAACAACAAAACACCAAAAGCTTCTGATGAATACAGACATCGGATAAGCACTATATACAAATGTATCCACAAACATACTGTGAAACAATAAATAAGAAAAGAAAAAAGAGGGAAAGAAAAATTTGCTTTGTATAATGGAAAAAACTTTCTCCCTTTCCCTGTTTTTTTTCTTTTAGCGATTATCTGATGTCTGTATTCATCAGAAGGTTTTACCCTGACAATTTTATTGCACCACCACGGAAGTAGCCACATGCATCCTGACAATTTTATTGCACCACCACGGAAGGCAGTAGCCAAATGCACTTGATGTGTTATTGTTTTACCATATTTTTGACTGAGTATGTGTTACTTGGTGATTACGCTGTATGAATTAACTGCCATATTTAAAAGAGATTTATGTGTAGCAAGAACAATTTTTAAGGTTTATGGGGTCTACTGGTTATTATTTTATAGTAATTAATGGAAGATCAAAATCATTTTAGTTTTGTCATTTATTTGCATATAATCTCTATAAATCCCAAATTAGTATGGTGTGTGTGTGTTTTAACTAAGCTTTTTCTGCTAACCTTGGGGGCTTGCAGAACCACAAATGGCTGGCCCCATTACATGGATTTCACTATACATACTTGGAGAAGGGCAGCCCTTGCCTACTAGGTATAGTAATAATTACATTTCTGGCAGTTTTTTGCTTAGTGTGTCTGTATATAAATGAAAAGATGTATAACTGATGTGAATTGATGACAATCCCAACTGTATGTACACACAGTGAAATGCATCTGTGTGCTCGTCACACAAAAAACTCATGCACTTTCCTGTTTCTATGCAGAATGCTTCATCTTCTGTGAGCTGGCCCTTATGCATGCAGAAATATTCACGTTTTCACAAAAGCGCAGCAAAATATGCATGAAACTACTGAACAGCAATAGGCTGTCAAAGTTATATATATATATACAGTGTATATACACTGAATGATATATACATGTATATTCAACAATGATTTTTTACATTGACTATGAAGTAACCTATAATTGTACTGTTTTAGAAAACTTCGCATTTGGCTAGTAATGAAGCACAGAATATATAGAATTATTCAAACTACTGATGGCGTCAGAAATGAGAAAACAGCGGTTTCCTTTGTGTTTGGCTTTCCACAGTTCTAGAAATAGGTGTTTCTTAAAACTGCTGGCCACTGTCTGTTCTTTCTGTGGACGTACAGAAAATAAGTGCCTGTTAATGAGAGAGTTTTGTAAATGGGTAGGGTTTGCTTTTTGAAATACAAAAAGATGGGATTGTTTTCTTGGAAGTTTGTGTAACAGCTGTAGGTTGGATCCAAAGGTCATTTTCTACCAGCTGAACGAGAGGGAACAATTTCCACTGATTTACACACACACACACACACCAATTGCAGACCTCTGATTCACTTATCATGTGTTTTGGGGGGTCCCCTGTCTCCCAGGAACAGTATTTAGACGAACACAGTAGACTGCATTGGGAGGGGGAGGAAGCAGGAAGTGTTCATTTCTAGTACTGGTGGAAGTTCCTTCCTTCAGCGGAAAACCACCTTTGGATCCAGCCCCCTCACAGACTGCTTTTACTTGCCTGTATTCACTAAAACTGGTTTTACAGCAAACAGAGCCAGATTTTAAAATTTGCTGCGCCAGCTCAAGATTGTGCATATGAAGCATACCAGCACCAGCAAAAAAAAAAAAAAAGCAAAAACGATGACAGTTAATTAAGTAATGCCAGAGTTGTAGGGAGGTATTTAGAACCACCATGGCTGGCTCACACACTTGAATATACAGCATTGTGTGGAGAAGCCTACGGATGACCAGGACTGAACATGGAAACATGCAGCAGTTATTTTTCGTTGTGAGGTAATTTTTGAGAATTTCAATAATCACGAAATGGCTCCTATGTGCTCTATCCATGTATAGCCTGGTTTTCATTGAGCGGTGTCCATGGAATCCTGTAATGGAGATGGCATAGGGAGATGGCATAGGCTTTGGGTTGAGAAATACCTGGAGATTTTGGAGGTGGAGCCTGAAGAGGGAGGGCGGGGTTTGGGGAAGGTTGGGACTTCACTGGGGTATAATGCCATAGACTCCACCTTCCAAAGCAGCCATTTTCTCCAGGTGAATTGATCTCTGTCATCTGGAGATTAGCTGGAATCCCAGGTCTTCAGCCACCACCTGGGAGATGGGAACCTTCAGATGGCACCCTACGTGTCTGCAAGGCCACATTATGATTCCTTCTGTGTACGAAGTCCAGCGGGTTTCAGCAGACTGCACCTCAGCCTATCACCTTGTTATTTAAAACGATACGGAAGTGTAAATCCTGCTTTAATTTTACAGAAACTGTTTCTGTGTCATAATACCTGGAGTCAGGGTATTCAAGAGTTCAGTAGGTGATGTGATTATTTACCGCCAAAACAGATCTTGGCGACACAATTCAAAATTAAATCCATGTTGATAACGGTTTGAACAGCTGAGGTGCAGGCTCCTGCTTTGAAAGGCTGTTCATAATTGATCGTTCTGATCTTAGAGGAACTGCAGACAGAATGAATGTATTTAAGAGGGTTAGACTGTAGATAAGTAGGTGCTATACATGAAATGTGTATGGACAGAGAGGTGTCTTATTCATATACATCCCAAGCTGTTCTCTAAATCTCTATGCAACTATGCATTGACTTGAGCTATTAAGACAACCAGCCTGCTAGTAGCATTATCTTCATCTATGTCCAAAACCCTGCGCCTAGTATCTGTCTCATATCTGGTCAGTAGTAATACTTGCTTGAATTCAGTGCCTTAATATCTCATGCAGAAAAGTCAAAACGGTCTCACAAAAAAGATTAAGACAGAAACTGTCTCTATTTAAATGAAAAGCGGAGGGCATATTTGTACATCTCAAGTATTTGAAAAGTATGGTCCTAAGGGAGTGCTAGAAGATATGATGGAGCTCAGGATGTAAGTGACAATGCGCCCCCCCCCCCTGCCTGGTGTCTGCCTGCTCGGGCAGGTATTGCCCCCCCCCCCCCCTGCCTCGTGTCTGCCTGCTCGTGCAGGTATTGCCTCCC